GTTGAGATAACGGCAGATCTGATCAGAGTGTGTTAAACTAAAATTGGTGTAAGGATTAGACCTGCTTAATAGTCACTTGTCATGATGCTGATTGCTTTAATCTCAACTCTGCTGCACCTGTTTTCCAAATTGAGTATTATAGTACATTATTTTCCGTATTTGCTCTCTGTAGTGTTGTTTATCCTCTCCGGGCCCTGGTTTCAGATCATTATGGTACTGAGTGTTATAGCAATGGCTTATGAGACGATAAGATATCTGGTCATGACTCTAACTTGGTATTTATACTCAGTAACATCGTGGACTCTGTACTTTGGAAACAGTATCTTGGGAACTATTAGCAATTATACCTATTGTTTTTCTCCATTAGAGAGTCAATCTGTGGAGGGGAAAGGGGAAGATATTTTTCTTACTTGATTACTCTCCCTTTCTCCTTCACCACCCCTGTATCCTCCTGGATCACTCTGCCTTCCTCCTTCACCACCCTCTTATCCCCTGAGCTTGTCACAATAGCTCTCCAAGATATTGAATATTCTTGGGATACTCAGACTACCATAGTCTTGTTGTTCTGCCTCCTGAATGCACTTCAGATTCTGCTTAAAGTTAAACAACTACTTAGGAAGCTCATCTGGAGATCTGCCCGGAGGCAGTATAGTTGTGGGTGGCAGGGAGTATGGGTGGATATGGGCAGGCATCTAGAGCAGTTGGCACCCCCAGTGTGTTGGAAATTCACCCCTGAACAATGGCAAAATCCTCAAAAACTGGCAGAATGCTTGAAAAAAAGGTGTCATGATTCTGGCAGTTCCAAAGTAACACAAATCATTGTAACGTGCTGGGGCCTGGCTCATGCCTATCGAGCTGCCATCGATACTGCTATCAACTTAGTGACAGACCCTGCGGCCACTCCAAGCCCTGTGACAGATCCAACGGCCACTGTGACCCCTACGGTGGACTCTACAGCCGCTCCAGTTCCAGCTCCTGCAACCGCTCCAGTTCCTGCAGCCGCTCCAGCTCCTGTGGCCGTGTCAGAGAAACGAGCTGTAGCAGTGCAAGTTGACCCTGCAGAGGGTATTCCAACCCCTGTAACGGGGTCAGAGAAACGAGCTGTAGCAGTGCAAGTTGACCCTGCAGAGGGTATTTCAACCCCTGTAACGTGGTGAGAGAAACAAGCTGTAGCAGTGCAAGTTGACCCTGCAGAGGGTATTCCAACCTCTGTGGCAGATCCTGTAACAAAGTCAGAGAAACGAGCAGTAGCAGTGCAAGCTGCCCCTGTAGAGAAGGTGAAAAAATGGTATAGAGATTCAGGTCGTTTAGAACGCAGAGAGTCTTCTGCCAATCCAGGTAAGGCTTCTGCCAAATCTAGGTATAGAGATGACGAAGATGACGACGACGCTGGGCCATCAAGGATTCAGGAGGAGGAAGATGAGGATGCCAAAAAATCAACAGTAACTACCCGAAGCCTAAACGAGCGCGAGCTACGAGATGTGCAAAAAGATTTTGGTTGCTGTATAGGTGAGCAGCTTGTCACCTGGCTGCTCCGGTGCTGGGACTCTGGAGCCAATTGTGTGGAATTAGACGGCAGGGAAGCCAAGCGGCTGGGATCCCTTGCTCGAGACGCCGGCATTGACAAAGCAATTGCAGATGGAGCACAATCCACCAGCCTCTGGAGGCGTCTCCTCTCAGCTGTGAGGGAAAGGTATCCCTTCAAGGAAGAACTTTTATGTCTACCAGGCAAGTGGACCACTATGGAGAAGGGAATCCAGTACCTGAGGGAATTAGCTGTACGGGAAGTGATTTATGAGGATCCAGACCTCAGACAAACATCCAAAGATCCAGATGAAGTCAAGTGTACACGACCCATGTGGCGGAAGTTTGTACGGAGTGCACCATCATCATATGCCAGCTCATTGGCAATAATGGCCTGGAAAGAGGATGAGGAACCCACAGTGGATGAAGTGGCTAAACAACTCCGGCAGTACGAAGAAAGTCTCTCCTCTTCCTTACAGGCCTGTGTCTCAGCTGTGGAAAAACTTTCTGAAGAGGTCCACCAACTTAAAGAGAATCTATCTTCCCCCCAACCTGAACCAACCAGTGTCCAACGACCGAAAGAGAACACTTGGGAGAAACTTTCTGAAAAGTTTCACAAACTTGAAGAGAGATTATTCTCCTCCGTACCTGTACAAAGCAGTGTCTCAGCTGTCAGGGGTAGGCGTTCACCCACACAAGGAAGACGATATGGTGGGTACTCACCCCGTGCCACCCTGTGGTTTTACTTACGAGACCATGGAGAGGACATGAGAAAATGGGATGGAAAATCTACCGCGACCCTAGAGGCATGGGTACGTGAGTTGCAAAAGAAAACAATCAGGAAAAAGGGATTCTCCGAAAAGTTTGCTGCTCCAACTTCCAGCAGACAGTCCTTCAAACATAGAAACGAAGAAGATTCTGACCAGGATTAGGGGGGCCCTGCCTCCAGCCAGGGGGAGGAAAGGGACAATCGAGTTTATTGGACGGTGTGGATTTGATGGCCTGGCACATCACGCGCACAGAAGTATAAGGCTTTAGTAGACACCGGTGCACAATGTACTATAATGCCATCGAGCTATAAAGGACCAGAGCCCATCTATATTTGTGGAGTGACAGGGGGATCTCAGCAGTTGACTGTATTGGAGGCTGAAGTGAGTCTGACTGGGAATGAGTGGGAAAAGCACCGCATTGTGACTGGCCCGGATGCTCCATGTATCCTTGGCATAGACTATCTTAGAAGAGGATATTGCAAGGACCCAAAAGGGTTCCGGTGGGCTTTTGGTATAGCTGCCTTAGAGACAGAGGGCATTAAACAATTATCTACCTTGCCTGGTCTCTCAGAGGACCCCTCTGTTGTGGGGTTGCTGAGGGTCGAAGAACAGCAAGTGCCAATCACTACCACAACTGTGCACCGGCGGCAATATCGCACTAACCGAGACTCCCTGATCCCCATCCATAAGCTAATTCGTCAATTGGAGAGCCAAGGAGTGATCAGCAAGACCCATTCACCTTTCAATAGTCCCATATGGCCAGTGCGAAAGTCTAATGGCGAGTGGAGACTAACAGTGGACTATCGTGGCCTGAACGAAGTGACGCCACCACTGAGTGCCACTGAGTGCTGCAGTGCCGGTGTCCTGGTTTCAGTTAGCACACAATTTGCCTTCACTTGGAGGGGAGTCCAATATACTTGGAATAGGCTGCCCCAGGGGTGGAAACACAGCCCTACCATTTGCCATGGACTGATCCAGTCTGCGCTAGAGCAGGGGGAAGCTCCTGAACATCTGCAGTACATCGATGACATTATTGTGTGGGGTGACACAGCAGAGGAAGTTTTCGAGAAAGGGAAGAAAATAGTCCAAATCCTTCTGAAAGCCGGTTTTGCCATAAAACAAAATAAAGTCAAAGGACCTGCACGAGAGATCCAGTTTTTAGGAATAAAATGGCAAGATGGACGTCGTCAAATCCCAATGGATGTGATCAACAAAATAACAGCTATGTCTCCACCAACTAACAAAAAAGAAACACAGACTTTCCTAGGTGTTGTGGGGTTTTGGAGAATGCACATCCCAAATTACAGTCTGATTGTAAACCCACTCTACCAAGTAACCCGTAAGAAGAATGAGTTTGAATGGGGCCCTGAACAACGACAAGCCTTTGAACAAATCAAGCAGGAAATAGTCCATGCAGTAGCCCTTGGGCCAGTTCGAACAGGACCAGATGTAAAGAATGTGCTCTACACTGCAGCCGGGGAGAACGGCCCCACCTGGAGCCTCTGGCAGAAAGAACCTGGGGAAACTCGAGGTCGGCCCCTGGGGTTTTGGAGTCGGGGATACAGAGGATCTGAGGCCCGCTATACTCCAACTGAAAAGGAGATATTGGCAGCATATGAAGGAGTTCGATCTGCTTCGGAGGTGGTCGGTACTGAAGCGCAGCTCCTCCTAGCACCCCGATTGCCAGTACTAGGCTGGATGTTCAAGGGAAGGGTCCCCTCTACGCATCATGCAACTGATGCTACATGGAGCAAGTGGGTTGCACTGATTACTCAGCGGGCTCGAATAGGAAACCCCAGTCGCCCAGGAATATTGGAAGTGATCATGGACTGGCCAGAAGGCAAATACTTTGGGATATCATCAGAGGAGGAGGTGGGTCGTGCTGAAGAAGCCCCACTGTACAACCAGTTGCCAGAGAATGAAAAGAAATATGCCCTGTTCACTGATGGGTCCTGTCGTATTGTGGGGAAGCATCGGAGATGGAAGGCTGCTGTATGGAGTCCTACGCGACGAGTTGCAGAAGCTGCTGAGGGAGAAGGTGAATCGAGTCAGTTTGCAGAAGTGAAAGCCATTCAGCTGGCTTTAGACATTGCTGAACGAGAAAAATGGCCAGTTCTCTATCTCTACACCGATTCATGGATGGTAGCAAATGCCCTGTGGGGATGGTTACAGCAATGGAAGCAAAACAACTGGCAGCGTAGGGGCAAACCCATCTGGGCTGCTGCATTGTGGCAAGATATTGCTGCTCGGGTAGAGAACCTGGCTGTGAAAGTACGCCACGTAGATGCTCATGTGCCCAAGAATCGGGCTACTGAAGAACATCAAAACAACCAGCAGGTAGATCAGGCTGCTAAGATTGAAGTAGCTCAGGTGGACCTGGATTGGCAGCATAAAGGTGAATTATTTATAGCCGGTGGGCCCATGACACCTCAGGCCATCAAGGTAGAGATGCAACATCCAGATGGGCTCGTGATCGAGGGGTGGACCTGACCATGGACGCTATAGCACAGGTTATTCATGACTGTGAAACATGTGCTGCAATCAAGCAAGCCAAACGGGTGGTGCGTGGCGCCATCACAGGGGCATCACTGAGGCTCCCTGATGTCACTGTGGCATCCGCCCCTCGCTGTGTTCCGGAGCCTATAAAAGCCCCTGCGCCTGGCCCACCCCTCGCTGATCTCCCAGGCCCTCTGGTGAATGACAAGCATGGCTGTCCTTAAGAGGCCCTGGGATGATGGCTGCCCACGCATTCGTGGGAGCAATGCGAGTTGGGTTATCGAACCCAAGAGAAAGTGGAGGCGGAGTGAGAGGGAAGACGGAGCAGCCGCGGCGGACGGTGTGGAGCCCATGGAGGTGGATCCACCTGTGGAGGAAGAGCTGATGGAGGTGGATCCACCTCCAAACCATCTGATGTGGCACAATGTCATCGTGCCAGGGCTCCCACCCGCGAGACAACACCACCGTCATCGCAGAGCCGCCCGGACTGCTCCATACTCCCGGCCCTGCCTCCGCCTCCACAGCTAGGGGGGAGAGGCCATCCTTTTACCACCTTGCAGGCTTGCCTGCACGATGGCCTCTTCCCCCATCCCCTGCCCCCCATCCCCGCCTCTTGTCCCAAGCTGTGGACAAGAGCGCACTCGGCTTCCTGTGGGCTGCTGCACCAGGGCGACAGGAGGAGCCCTCCGAAGGCCACGCTCGGCGTGGGGTGTCTCGGTCTGAGGACGAGAAGGCTGCCCAAGAGGTGCTTGAAGACGAAGCCGCGCCCTGCATGGCAGTGCACAGAGAGGAGCAGCAGATCCCTCAAAACGGTGATGCAGACAGGTGCTCCTCTGAAGAAACACAAGTCTTCAGCTCTGCCAGAAAGAAGCACAGGAGTGCAGCAAAAAGTCCACTCAAGACGTTTGGTTACCAGTTCTTCCCAAGGCTGGGCAACAAACTGGTAGAATAATCCTAATAAAAATAACAACAACCGCAATAAGAATAAACAACCGTGAAAGCACTGTCCTCTCTTCTTTGGTGTCATTTCTGCCACTGCCCCTGGGCTCCGACATCCTGTTTTGGTCTCCGCGGTACAGGAAAGATCCTGATGGGTGTGGAGTGGGCCCAGCTGACGGCACTGGAGGGATTGAGGGGCCGGGGCACACAGCATACAAGCACAGGCTGAGGGAACTCCTGTGGTCAGCACAAAGGAGAAAAGGCTCAGACTGCTTCCAGCTGTCTGCTGGGAGGGGGGAGTAGAGAAGATGATGCCCATGCCTTCTCCGAGGGGCTCTGTGGCAGAAAGTTGAGTGGCACCAGGTCTATGCTTGCAGGTGAAGACAGCCCAGCTAGGAAAAACCCATCTGGGCTGCTGCATTGTGGCAAGATATTGCTGCTCGGGTAGAGAACCTGGCTGTGAAAGTACGCCACGTAGATGCTCATGTGCCCAAGAATCGGGCTACTGAAGAACATCAAAACAACCAGCAGGTGGATCAGGCTGCTAAGATTGAAGTAGCTCAGGTGGACCTGGATTGGCAGCATAAAGGTGAATTATTTATAGCCCGATGGGCCCATGACACCTCAGGCCATCAAGGTAGAGATGCAACATCCAGATGGGCTCGTGATCGAGGGGTGGACCTGACCATGGACGCTATAGCACAGGTTATTCATGACTGTGAAACATGTGCTGCAATCAAGCAAGCCAAACGGTCAAAGCCTCTTTGGTATGGAGGACGATGGCTGAAATATAAATATGGAGAGGCCTGGCAGATTGATTACATCACACTCCCTCAAACTCGCAATGGCAAGCACCACGTACTTATAATGGTGGAAGCAACCACCGGATGGCTGGAAACATATCCTGTGCCTCATGCCACTGCCCGGAACACCATCCTGGGCCTTGAAAAGCAAGTCCTATGGCGACATGGCACCCCAGAAAGAATAGAGTCAGACAATGGGACTCACTTCCGAAACAACCTTATAGACACTTGGGCCAAAGAACATTAATTAATTTTCTTCCTAGTAACTGGTGGAATGCTGTGTTTTGGCTTAGGATGAGAAGAGTGCTGATAACACCCCGATGCTTTAATTGTTGCAGAGCAGTGCTTATACTAAGCCAAGGGCATCCCAGCCTTTTGCTCTGTCCTGCCAACGGGCAGGCTGGGGGTGCAGCAAGAGCTGGGAGGGGACAGAGCCAGGACAGGTGACCCAAACTAGCCAAAGGGGTATTCCATACCATCTGACGTCATGCTAAACAATATATAGGGGTGGCTAGCCGGAGGAGGTGGCCGGACTGCTCGGGGTTAGGCTGGGCATCGGTCAGCGAGTGGTGAGCAATTGCATTGTGCATCACTTGTTTGTACATATTATTATTACTTTCCTATTATCATCCATTGTATCATTATTATTATTATTGTTATTATTATTTTTGTTATTATTATTTTCCTGTCTTATTAAACTGTCTTTATCTCAACTCACGGGCTTCACTTTCCATTTTTCTCCCCCGTCCCAGAGAGGGAGGGGGGAGAGTGAGCGAATGGCTGCGTGGTGTTTAGCTGCCAGCTGGGTTAAACCACGACAGGCAGCCAAAGCACTGAGTGGGGGGTGAGGGGGCAGGAGGCTGTAGGGCCTACTCCTGCTCTCAGGGCCTGGTACTACATGGTGAAGTACCTTTCAGGGTATGGGTTGCTTTTTTGTTCTTTGTTTATAAATTTGGACTTGAGCTCCTAAATCTATTGCTTCTGGAAAAAAAAAAAAAAAAAGAAAACAAGAAAAAAAAAAAAAAAGCACTGGATTTGGCTGAATTCTCATTTATGTATAAAAACAATGATCCAGCTGTGGCTTCTCATATGTAAATTCATTTGGTTTATAGCCTAGTAAGACTCTTAGTCTTACTAGTCTGTTTAGTAAGACATCTAGTAATAACCTTCTATACCTAGCTTTGGCTCTGCATCTTCTCCTGTATTTACCTGTTGTTTATCAGCCAAAAACCACCTGGTTATCAGAAAAACTAGTGAGATCTGCGGGAAAAATAAACAACAAGACACACACAGACACACACAGACACAAAACATAGAATTATAAGGTGGTTGGGCTGCTTCTGAACATCCTCAGTCATAGACAGCAAACTTTTGTGGGGTCCCTTGAAGGAGTTGTTCGAAGTAAGTGTCCTGGCTGAGTTGTGAGGTGCTTGGTGCAGATTCTCAGGCAGGACCACAGGTTAACAAAGAGCCCTTATATAGACGAGTTCTGAGTCATATATTCATAGAAGTGTTCATAATTGAACATTAGTGGAAAGAGAGGTCATTTTGTGGAAAATTGGGTTGTAACACATGTAGGCTTCAGGCATTTTAATTACACAGAGAAGTGTTTTGCTACCTAAATATTTCTTTCCTGAGCATTACACTTTGATCCTGCAGTAAGTACTCTGTGGAAGATCTTGGCAACAGGGGAGAGCTCATTGCATTCAGCCCCTGGTAAGGGACTGCTGCTGCTCAAGAGAGCACTGGAAGACATGCAAGAAGGTCTCACAGGATTTGAATTGCTCTGGAAAAGGATTTGATACTTGAAGATATTAATAAATCCTTGTCTTTTCTCACCTCTGCTATCCCACACTAATTGAAAGCTTTTTTTGAATTGTTATTTTTATGAAAAAATAAAAAATCTGCAACTTTACTTGATTTCAGTGTGTATTCAAGCTTCTGGAAAATAATAAAAATACAGAACAGTTATATTGAAGTCAATAGGACTCTTCAGTTTCAGAGCTGTTGTAACTGAAATTGTTTGTCAGTAAAACTGAACAGTTATATTGAATGTGAAGTGAGGTTTATGAGAATGCACGTCTGTGTCTTATGTTATCCTCACAGGTTCTTGTTTCTCTTCTTTTCCCCCAGTGGGTAAGCAGTAATATGATTAACATATAGGCAGAGGAAATTTTCAGAGTAAACAAGTATGTCCTTTTTCGAACAGTGCTAGATCAGAATTTCTCTCAAATTGTGGAGGTATTGTTAACTTATTTAGTGTCACATATAGCAAATACTATTTTATAAAAGGCTGATACAAACCGATGTAGCTAAATAATTGGTTTTCAGGACTGCTTCTGTGATGGGTGTTTATCTTTGTTCTGTCACAAACTGTTATATTGTGCCCATTACTCTACTGCTTTACTATTAGGAGGAGCTCAACAATGTTGAACCAGATGCAGTTACCAGGAATATATCATTTCCCAAGAGTAATTAATTCTGCCGTTCCAGTGTTTATCTCTCTTTGGTTAGATTTTTTCCAGCTTCAGTTTCCATTAGTTTGCTGTCTTCTTTTGCTAGATGACAGACAGGATAGGACAACACCATTTTCTTCTGTGGATTTGGAGGGGGAGACACTGTAGGCTGCATCTGCCTTTGCTTTCCAGCTCATTCTTGTGTCTGCGCCTGACCGTGCATGCTGCATGCACAGTGGTTCGTCCTGGTTTCTCTTTTAGATCAAAGCAACTTCTTTCCCATAGGACAAAACCTGTCTGTGTTGTGAACACTAACCTCAGTTAGTGTTCCAGAGAAGAATAGAGATGAGGCTGCAGTAAATTTGGCTCCCTCCACTCCCTCAAGTCCTTCACTGCTATCCCAGCATCATCTGCACTCCTGCATGCCCTGGTGGTGTACAGCACACACCCGCAGCATCGGGTTACCCTAACCCCGTCCTCACAGGTTTTTGGCACACAGAATGGAAAAAAGAAAAAAAAAAAGTGATGTTTTAGGATTGCAAGGGCAACAGAGGAGACTTGAAATCAGTGCTGTGCGTCTGAGCACAGCCACCACTGGTGTTTGGTGCGTGAGTCACTCGCACCCCTGGGCTGGGAGCCTGCCTGGGGAGGACGCATTTACGAGAGTGGATGCTGCCATTGAATCAAATTCTCTTCTGTGGCAACCAAGCATTTGCACTGATGGAAATGTTTCTTTGTCAAATGCATTTAGAGGTTGATGAAGTCACAACATAAATAGTGGAGGAGAGAGATTTTCACAGTTACACTGCCACTGTGAGCTGGAACATGCACACATGTGACTGGCAGCAATTAGGGCTGCACAGATAAGGACAGATTTTGCCCCATCCTTCTCTGTGGCTTTCTGCACTTGATACTGTTCAGATTGGCAAAAATGAAGTGTGTTGCATACTCTGTTTCATTTAGTTGTGGTTAGCGTTCAAAAAATAATTAAAAAAATATAAAAAAATATTTTTCTGTCTCTCATTTCGTCTTGCTTTTAATGCGAGGTATCCTTGGATGACCAAAAGAATGACAGGGACATATCTTGAGTGACAAATGTTGAGCTCTCGAGACAGTACAAAGAGTTCTGTGCTTCTAAATAATGACATTTTTCTTTTTGCAAATTAAAAAAAATTATGTCTTTAATAAGCCAATTTTTACAATTGCATTCAAAACTGATGAACAACATCTCCACTACTGAAAAATTATACTTAAGCCTATCATCTGTAAGGCAGTTTACTCAAAAAGCATCCTACATCAGGTAGAGATGAATGCCATGATTACTTTCATAAGATAATGGAGCCCTGACTTTTTCCAGCTCTGTTTGCACATTAGCCTGAAATGAACTTTCTTGCTCAGTGGTTTCATTTGCATCATCATTTTCAGTCACTAACCCATAAAAAATACACACTCAAATTCCCTGATCACTTTTGAGCACTTCCTGTATTAGAAAAGGATTTCATGGCTGCTTCTGAACTGAGTATTTTCTGCCTTCATTTGAAGCATTGGCTCACTGTAGGTATTTGTTATTAAGACACTTGTAATGTTTTTCACTATATTTTCATGACGTGTCTTTTCCTCCTTGACTGTCGTGCCTTTTTCTGTTATCTTCAGGGACAGCCTCAGCCCTGATGGATCAAGCCCCATCATCAGGCTTCATCAACATGGAGTTATACCAGCACAAGTGGAATGTGAGATAAGGTTACGGTTTCTTTTCCAGTGTAGCCACATTGCACAATTCCTACTGTGCACCATTTATAGAAGGACTAACAGCTCTAGCTTGTTCTGCAGTTCTAAGAGAGATCAAACTGTTACAAGGTAAGCACCTTTTTATTGATGTACCACGGCTGACACAAGGTAATCTTACTCTACTAAATTCTGTGGAATAAAATGGTGCAATTTTGGTGTGTAAACAAGTTCTTCTAAGCCAAAAACTTAAAACCTGATCCCTCGGGTCACTGTATTCCTCCATTGCTTTCCTTCACCCCTATTTCAGGCCATGTATACGAAGTATGTAGATAGCGGCACGCTGCGGATCGGGTGTCTCGGACAGCTGGCAACATGTTTGGAGTACATGCATAGCACCAATATTTCCAAATGCAAGAGCAAACCCAAAGACTTTAAAAGATTTCATAAGGTTTGCTTACAAATAATGTTTTTTCCAGGTGCTGTTTCCATGTGTTTTAAAGTTTGAAAAAAATATTCTTGTTTTCAAATTGAATAGGTGATAAACGTTGAAAAGCAGGCATAGTCCTAATCACATACCAGCACTTATGCCATCTATGCAGAGGCTTTTTTTGGGTTGGTGGGGCGGAGTGGGGAAGGAAAATATTTGTGAGAAGAGATAACTGGAGCCAAAGCAAGTAAACGTGACATGATAAAATCTGGAAACTATATAGCAAAGATACTTCCCATTTCTTTTATTGAAAAACAATGCCCATGACTTCTCCTATTTTCTATGGTTTTGTAAAGTATTTCTTCATATTGCAAGTTATTTTTCAGTATTTTCAGTTATGGTTTTGTGTACCTTTTTAAGGCAAGGCTGTGCATATGATGATGTCTCTGATGGTAGTAGATGGAAATCGAAGCAGAGTTTCTGTCACGATATGGTAATTACTAAACAAATAAAGCAAAATCGCATGGCCGAATCTTGTAACTGTCTGTTTTAACTGTTTAACTATGCTCCCTCTAAATGTGTTTATGACTTAGAAAACAAACTGTAGGTTGGTCTTAAGGGTCTTTTGTTGCAATATATAAATAAAATATGTTGTTTTTTCCTACTTAAAAGTGGTGATGTAATTTCAATAGTCAGTTGCCTTAAGTGTAGCTATCTGAAGTTCAGACTATTGAAAATAAAATTTAAATCAAATTACATAGGAGGTTTGGGACAGAATTGAGATAATTTAGTTTCATTATTTAATCACAGCATGACAGGCGTATGCATTTATTGATGTAATACTGCTGACAAGAAGAGTCAATGCATACAAAAAGACCACTGGAAGCAGCAGCTGCCTCTGTCAACAGATTAAAAATCAAGGGAGATTTTAAAGTATGTTTCTATTAATTGAATATGTAATCATTTTACGTAGAAGGGTTTTAATTATACTTAGGCTCAATGTCCTCATTATGCACTTACATGGACTAAATATCCATGATCCTTGAATAACATGTGGTTTGACAAAAAGGAAAATATGAGAATAGCAGAAAAGAGATTTTAAAGGAGTGGTAAATAATGTAGAAAGAAGACATCGTGTCTGTGCAATTTTCACAGCACAATTGTGAATGTCAGATAACAGCAACTAGATTTTCACTGGGGGCTTTTCATTCTTAAAGATAATAACACATTAGTTAGCAGATGTATAAAATTGTTCAGATTCTCCAAACCTCTGAGCAGGGTCTGTCTTGTGAAAATACCCTACTGGTTTTCTGTTACGTATACCTCAAATGGCAATGCAGTGGGACTGGGAACACACGGCTCTCGTATTTCCAATTTATAATTCTGGATTATTTCTTGTTCTGAAAAGTTCACTGCAGAATATAACACCTTTTGCCTTCCATTTTCCCTTTTTATATCAAACTGTTAATAGAAAAACAAAACAAAACAAAACCAATTGTTTGGGTCTTACTTCTGTACAAAATAATATGCTAAAAACCAATATATACACTGAGATTATTTAGATTCTCATCAAATGTGCCACATCCAGAAGACCAAGCAGAGGATGCCTGTCCAAACACAGTTCTGTTGCTCGATAGTCTGTCTTCTGCTCTGGGCAAGAAAACGTGTGGTTATGTGTAAATTACACAGTCAATTATCAGGCTGTCATGTCTTAATTTTGAGCATTTGATCTTGCTGTTCTTTCATTGAAGGCTGGAGTATTTCTGTGGATCATGGAGTTGTTTTTATTAATTTGTTTCAGAGGAAAGTTAATTGCCAATTCAAAATCACATGCTGAGTGAAACAGATTTCTGTTGTGTTCCATGGCTTTGATTGAACTCTGGGACAGGAGAAGAATATTTTAAGAAATTGCACTGTGTGGAAACAAAGAACACAAAGACAATGGGAGAGAAACAAATGTTTGTGACCGATCTGAGGCAGAAGAGCCAGATTTGCAACTAGAGATGGGGGGCCGAGATCTGATTAAAAAAGCACAGATTGTGACTGGGACAGCGCAGCGAGAGTCTCCTTCCAGACACAGAAATAAATCTTGTAGGCAGCTTCAAGCCATGCACAGTCTGGACGGTGAGGCAGACGGCAGCTCTCCCAGAAGTGCTGGAGAGCGTTTCCGCAGAAGCTGAGCGGGCTGTCATTTTCGGAGTCGGTAGGGAGAGCTTTGTTAATCTGAAGTAGGAGTCAAGTGCACGAGTCCCCGCTGCAGCTGCAAGAGACGCGTTAGCTTTGGAAGAAAAGCCACAATCGGCAGAAGGTGAATGAGTGAAACTCGAGTCTCAGTCGCAACAGTGAGAATATGTGAGCACGAAGTGGGGAAATGTTTGCCTCGTCTCGCTGCCTCTGTGGAGGGAAGCTGTCTTGCTGCAGAAGTGTGAAATCTGGAGAGCAGCACTTACGCATCACAGCCGATAATAAAAAGTGAAAGCCTGTGGATGCAGCCGAGTCACAGGCTCTGGCAGTCATCAGGAGGCAGGAGAAAGCTTTTCTCTTTGCATATGAGAGGTTAGCAGTTAGGCAGAGCTGATCACAAACTGTGTCAGAGAGGGCTTGGCAAAAACTTCCCTATGTTTTCATCTACAAATCCTTGTTTACAAGCAGACTGCAGCTTCATAACAAACTGCATTGGTGGCAGACTCGCTGGCTTCAGCCTTCAATAGAAGTTCGGTAGGACAAAGTCTACAGAGCTCGTTTATACATACATTGATCTGATTTAAAGCAAACAAACAAGTAAACCCGATTAGTCTCAGATGGAGCATGGAGTCTGATTAACTAAATTATTTGTGAAGTTAGTATCCTAGAGAAAGTCCTGAAGATATTACCACAGAATTACCAGAACATCATTTCCCAGCTCCTACAATTAAAGGGACAGTTTTCCAATTTATCTGGGCTTACTTTTGAAGCAACAAGGACAGAAATTCTTAAGTTGTTACATTAAAATACATTACAATGGATCCCTGAAGCAGAGATGACTGAAAGAGTCCAAGCTGGTAGCAGGGGAATTGCTGGCCTCCTGAAGCAAAACAGGCACAGATTTGTTGAGATGGGCTGAAAAAGTAATTTAGCTCCATGTGTTGCACAGCAGCCGAGGACTGCTGCCATTTGGCAATCTCGCCAGACAATTAAAGGAAGAATTTCAGCCCACTCGCCAGTTGTTTTTTAAAAGGAAGAGGGCAAGGGAATCACTTGTGATGTTTGGTATCGATGTTCATCAGTAAGGATGAAGAGCAACTCCTGCTTGCCACACCACTGCAAAGGGGGAGCCCAGGTGGAGAGAGGTGCTGTGTCACCTGAGGTGTGACTTGTCTACCAGCAGCTAAAGGGCTCATCAAATCAACTCTCTGCCTACTCCAGATTAGAAAAACTTCGGGTAAGTGATAACAGATCAGATCTTACGCACCTCACGGCTTGGGATTCATCCTGGATGATGCTGGGCCCAGGACCTGCTTTCCCACATCCTACAGATCAGCAGGTCCATGGCGGGGTGCAGGCACGGCTGCCACACAGCTGCAGCACATCGTGGGCAGGGACCAAGGGCAAGACCCCCAGCATAAAAGCAGGTCCCTGGGAAGCAGGGCAGCCCTTGCTGAGGTCTCTTCCAACTCCTTCTCTCAAGGCCACCAGCTGCACTATCTCTAAGCTGGCCCTAAGCCCAGGAGACTGACCCCCCTGGAGCTCCTGGGTGCTCTCCAGAATTTGTTTCATCTACCCAGCCAGTGACCTCCTCCTGTCTGCCATGGACAGCTGACACCAGCTTCCCTTCCCTCCCACTTGCTGTGATCTTCAGCACTGCCTCCATCTAGCTCATGCTATCGCTGATTTAGGTGCAAGGCAAATAACACATTCTTTGCTACAAGGTCAGCCGTTCTCCCGTCCGTAGCTTTCCACCTTCACAAGCAGGTGGTTCTTTGAGCCTACGATGCTATCTGAACAGTGGTGCTTTCTGCTGGGTCTAGAAAGTGCATTTACAACTTAGATTGATGTTAAACCTCTCAGGAATTTCTATCTACAAATTAAGCACGTTCTGTCTTTCCGCAGGTTATAGTTTATTGGGCATGAATTTAAGTAGTTTGCAGAGGAGTGCAGCTGAGGCAGCGAAGTACTGGTTGCCATAACTGTCAGTCTTACAGATTGGTGGCAATATCAAAATAAGAAACAAGCTATTAAAAATATGTGAAAATCTCCAAATTGCATTTGGGATTTCTGAGACAGAGAACAGAACACGTGAGACACAGATTTTCAGCGTTTCCAGTTCATTCAGGCTTGGGGTTCGTTAACCCAATGGGACCGTATCATTGGGAACTGTCGTCAGAGATGCTGGGGACTTATCAAATAAAAAGGGTCAAGTAGACAGAGCAAACCTCTGGTGTGGTTAGGATCCTGTAGCATACCATTTCCTTGTGAAAATGACACCATGCACATATCTACTGTGGAAAATAATGTTTGAAAAAGCAAATAGCCAATGGTCACATGATTGTTTTTTTTTTTTTTTTTTTTTTTTTTTTTTTTTTTTTTACATCAGAAGGATGTAGATTATGGCGAAAAGGCACCTCATTGGAATGCCAGGAAGGGGGGAGATAAGCACATTGATTCAGGTATTTTGTCTGAGAGTGTCTCAGGCAGCCAGTACAGTACAGAGCAGCCCTAGCAGCCAGAGATAATGCTCCTGAATACAGCCGCAGTGGATTTATCACCACCTGACAGAGCTGGTGTTGATGCTTCGAGGCAGCACCTGCAGGCTCAGGCAGCATTTCAGAGCAGTTCAAATACCATCAGCTAATAGATCGAACAGTGTGCAAAGGCCTGAATTACGGCAATGTCATCTGTTGGCAGTGCTGTGTTTGGGAAAGGAAGTTGTGAGTAACTGTATCCCAAAGAGGCTTTGCTATAAACTCTCGGGAACGGATTTTATTCAGAATTTCATATGGAGGACTAAAACTGTGGAAGAAATATGGAAGAAATGGACCTCTGTCATTTTCTTTTTCTTTAAAGCACTACAAATAAGCAGAGCCTGTATGAGGAAAAGCCTAGGCAAGGTGGGATTTAGAGCCCCTACATAATTTAAACACTTTTGAAACTCCTACTTGTTGTAGAATCTGTTTGATAATGGGTAGCAGAAAGCTTGCTAAAATGAACCGAACTGGAACTGACCGCTGCTGTGCATAGCCTGGTGACTTCTGTTTTGCAGAGAAGGAGGTGATGTTTGTTCAGTCAGTGAGAAAAGCACTGCGAGGCTACAGCCTGTGGCGGGTGGGAGCTCTCGCTCGAGTGTCTGCCCTCTTCCACCACTGATGTACACGTGTCTTCACAGAAAGGCGACGTCTCAGTCTCTTGCCTGAGAATAGGTACCTATTTCCAGCTTCTTTCAATAGTTTCTTTTTTAAATAGGCTTTACTCCAGATAACCAGGCTACTACATTTACTATGCCCTGTACAGATTTTAACCGGTACGGTTCATGAAAGCAATCTGCAATGCTGGCTTACCTGGAATTTCAGTGCTGTGCATTGCCAGGGGTTAGACGTATGGGTGGTAGATGGCACAGTTCTTTATACATATAAAGATGACTTCCCTGTCACATATTTTGCACTTCAAAAATGCTAATAGAGGCAGATAAAAATAGCAACCACAAATGATATTGTCAAAATCAAATAAAACCCCTATCTGTTAAATCAATAAATAGTGGTATGATTCATCTGATTCTGTGGATTAATCCTGAGAGCCGGCTTACTGTTCAGATCTGTTGAGAAAAAGGAAACTTGAATCTATAACTAAGATAAGCTCCACTCAGAACAGTAAATGTGTTTTAAAACTTGAGTATGGCACAAAATCAAGTTTGTCCTCAGGTTTTTATTGGTTTTCATCTATTAGATTATACCCAAGGCAAAAAAAAAAAAAAAAAAAAAAAAAAGTATTTAGGAGGCAAATTGTACAGATTCTGATAATTCTTCAATTGAAAAAAGTTACAAGTGAGTGCAAAGTACAGGCTTATTTGACCAGCAGGAAAAGTAACCAAAACTCTCTCTGGCATATGGGGCAACCAACCTTATTTAGTAAAGATCCTTCCTTTAAATTGTGGAATAATATTTGAAATTATAAGAGTTTTGGCCCGACATTTGTTTTTAAAAGGGTTATTTATCCTTCTTATACTGAGATGTGAGGGCATTTCTGCTGTTAGAAAATATTCAGTGGATTAATGAGGTGAGTTATTCCAGCAGACAGAAAGCAGAGGTGCTGCAGATGAAATTATTCCACTGCAGAAAAAATAAAGAACGTTACGTGGCATGAAATGCACTGTACTGGGACCTGTACAGTGTGAGTGGGCTCTTGTATTACTCATTCCTATAATGTCTAAGAATCTGCCTTTGGGTGTGGGCACTGATGCATAGTTTCCCACTAGGAAGACAGCCCTGTCATAGGCAAAAATGACTGAATATTAACTTTGGATGGGCATTTAGAGTACTAAAATCAGATATGTAAATATGCTTACACAGATGCTAAAATCCATTGTATATGGGCTTGGTTTTAGTATCTAGAGGTGAAAACACAGTGCAGATTCTGTATTCACTTCAAACGCCGAGTGAGTCCTTGAGAATATAATGAAGCATTATATTGCACAGTGACCTCTGCCCAGTGAAAGCTGTTTCCTAGTGCCTTTCTGCCACTGTGATGGCTCTTTATATGCTGCCAAAACATCGTGTTCAGTCAGGATATCTGAGTCTTGAAAATCATCCTGGTATTTTTCTCTTCAAAACAAACAAACAAACAAAAAAAAACAAAACTGTAAGTTGGTTGACTACATTTTTCTAGAGATTTACCATTTTGATGTCTATTTATCATTTTCTTCTAGTTACTGCACTATAAATAAAAGGACAAAAACAATATGCCTAATTCGGTGATTCTCACTTAAGCAGCAAACAAAAAAGGAGGTTGTGTTTCCTCTCCATCTTAAATCAGGCAGTACTAGAAGGATGTTAAAATTTTAGAAATACCCCTTGTACCCATCCTGAAGTCTTTCATATTCATTTGGCCTGCAGAAGCAGACCTTCAGGGAGGCTTGCCTGTGGGAAGTGTGGGGAGGAGGGTGGAAGAGCCCCACACTGCTGAACTGCAGCCTTTAGTGTCCCCATTCCCCCCCTCCAATATCATTGTGCCAGATATTGCTGGGCTAGTATATTCCCTTCCCTTTTTTTTTTTGTCCCCTAGCCCGATGGACTTCAAACAAGCTACTTTTCCACCAAAAAGGTTGTTTTCCAATCTGCTTATATGAAGTCCCCTTCTAAGCTCATCTAGGTTCACTTCACAGAGGGGACATTGGTGTGCCATAAATGCTATCAAATGCTTCTTAGACAAGTGTCAGCAGTCAGCATCTTATTTCTCCATCCTGTGTAATTTTTTAACTTCTTTTTCTCTCTTCATGCTGTGTAAAATGCATCTGTGGCTTTCTCCCTAGCACCCAGAAATCCCAGAATTTGTTTTATTTTTCTTCTGACTGATGGAGCTTTCCGCCTGCTGTAGGACTTCTGGCTGAAGTGGACACACTCCGGGTTTGTTCCAGCATAACCAACATTAAAGTCAGACCATGCCGTGGTCACTTGCTGTGTAATTGTTATACTTCTATTCCTCTTTTTCTCTTCCTCCCCTTTGCTTTTATTCTTTATAAACAACAATAGATTGAAGTTATTTGAGGCAAAAAGCATTTCCTCATGTGTATTTTTACAGTCTCTAACATGAAGTTACCCTGTCCTAGAGTCTCTGTCTAATGCATACAGTGCTACGTGTGTAAGCTGGGCACGGCACCAGCCAGAGGCAGCAGTCCTTGTAAGCAGGCAGGCAACATAACTGTGATCTACCTGCCCACCTCAGCCCACTGACCATTTTTTGAGCATTTTTTGATGGATGACAGTGTCATCCATCCTCTACCACTGCTCAGCCCTGGAAACATTCCTCATCTATTGTTTTCCTTCTTCTCTTAGCACATCTCAAAAAGCTTGGCAGAATCTAGCACAAATTACATGAAGTCATGCAAAGCAAACATTTGGAAGCTGCAGAAATGGATGGTTATATATTTTTTTTTCAGCTGTGTATTGGAAGAGACTCTCCTGACCAAGCTGTTTTTCAGCCATGTAAAGCTGTTGATGACACAGGGTTTTCCCTCCGGAAAGGGATATGATCCCATGTAGGACATGACCCCAGCAGCCTGTGGGACCATGTTTGTACCCCTTGGCATCCACCGTCTTTTTGAGGGCTGAAGCCCTGGTCAGCTGAGAAGGGAACAGAAGAGGAAATTAAGGAAATTAAGGTCTTTAGAAATGATTCTGTTGGTACAGCTGTTTTCTCAGAAAGTTCTACCTGTGATAAATCAGATTTTCATTGGAATCAGAACATTAACTTGCTTATATTTTTTCACAGATCTTACAGTCCTAGGGACAAGGCATCGTGTCACCTGTGACCTAAACTAGAAAAGATGAGATCTTTACTTCTTTTGTCTGTGTCTGTGGCCCACAGTAAGTGTAACAGTCTGTGCACAGATCCACTCTGTAAATAATGGTCTTCAGGATATGCTGCCCATATGCACTTTTGTCAAATATTCTCCTTCCCCTCTTTCAAGGTCACTTCAGTTTCCTGGGATTCTGC